CATCCCTATGGTCACGTGATCAAAATTCAGATGCTTGGCAACTGACTCATATTTAGGGCAGTTTAGTGTCCTGGGATCATGTGCTCTTCTTTTGTGACCTTCTAACAAGCATAGTCAATGGAGAAGCCAGATTCACTTAACAACCATGTCACTAACTTAACAACTGCGGTGATTCACTTAACAAATGCAGCAAAAAAGATCATAATATGGGGCAAAATTCACTTAGCCACAGAAAGTTTGGGATCCGTTGTCAAGGACTACCTGAAGTATTCTAGAAATGTTACCCAGAAATCATATTAGTTAACATTTGTGGTTAATACTAAACTGATGCCCTACATATGTTTTCCATGATCATCTCTCTTCTTATTTTTATGGAGATTCTCAGTCATCCAGCTCATGGTTGTCCCAAAGGTGCTTTTTCAAGAGGCAACTGGACTTTCTGGAAAATCCAGTTACCTTTTGAAAAAGCACCTTTGGGACTCTCTTCTTGTTTATACTGGTTGAGATGGCAATTGAAATGTAAAGAATCTAAAGAACATGAAGTTGCTTAACTTTGTTTTCTACCTAGACTTATTATACAGACATATTCTACTTCACTTTGCAATACTTTTTAAATGACATTATTTCAGCACACAACTATTTCAGTCTAACATTACATTCATTACTCAGGACCAGGTGAGAGGAATAAAAATGCAACTAAGAAGATGTATGTGCTGTCATAATTATAAGGTTTGGTGAGATTCTTAATATAGAAGGCTTTATTATAACCATTTTTCAATGCACTAATGTTTCTCCTATATCCTTTCGTTCTGGTCTTTACAAATTAAAAAAAGATTTAAATAGGCAAAAATATGCTCCCCCTTTTCAATTAAGGACGTGCCTTTTTTAGTCTCTGCAGCACTGTTTAAAATTTCAAAATACAGCATTTTTTAAATTTCTGTCTTGCATGAAGTAATGGAAGCTTTTTTAAAGATTTAAACTAACAAGTTGCAGGGTGTTTGTAGTAATGTCGGTATTCGGCTTTTTATGTAAGCAAAGCATTCATGATTTTTCGTTCCCTTGATAACCAATAGGGAAAAATAAAAAGCTAAATGCATAACATACCATGGGAACTTTTCCTGATTTTACAGTTCAACCTAAAGGTCTTTTGGGGAATAAAATGTAAACAATTATAGTCATCATTTCCTTTTTTAACAACTTAGGCATGAAATACTTATGTGCGTCAGTTCATTTTTTTTATGCCATTAGCATTTTATAAATATATAGAAGGCTTTTCTAGGAAAGCAATCAAGCTGTTTGTCAGAAGAGTTATGATGATGAAAAGGGTTTTAAATTTTCTCAATACTATACTGGCTCTTAATTTTTAACAGGCCTTTTATTACAAGTAGTCTTTTGGGGTTGTCAATGGTATTAGACTACAGCTCTCACAATTTGCTGCAAGCACCACACTGGGGAAAACTCATTCTCAGTAGTGCTAAATATCAATCATCTCAAAATCAAAAGTTTATCAGCTCATGCCTACTACACTAGATCCAAAGGTAAAATTTGGGCTGGAAGTTATCAGGCCACCCTTTTTTCCTAGCATGAATCATTAGATCAATACATATCAAGGTTTTTTTTTATTGTCCAATCAGTGGACCCAAATACTGTCTGTCATCCCTGTCATGGCATCTTGCTCATCTTTTCTCTCCAAAAATGGCTTGTGTTAGTATCTGGCCTTTCTTCTGCCCTCGATAGGTAAGGTAGGAAGGTAGGTAGGTAGATGGATGGATGGATGGATGGATGGATGGATGGATGGATGGATGGATGGATGGATGGA